GCGGCGGCGTGCCGGCCGCTCACCTCGGGTGCGAAGTGACAGTCGTAGTACGGGGAATTGATGGCTTCCCCCGCCGCCGCCGCCGCCGCCGCCGCGGCCGCCGCCACCTTGTACTTGGAGTAGAGCGGGTTGACAAAGTAGGAGCTCATCGGGGAGGGGGCAGCGGCGGGCGGGGGCTCGGGGCGCTGCTCTCGCCGCCGCCGCCGCCGGTGCCTCTACGCCGCGCTCATGCCGCCGCCGCCGCCGCTGGCCCGTGCGCTCCCCGCTCCTGCTCTCCGTGTATGTGGTGACCAGGACTGGATTATAATCGCTCCCAAAATGACCTGCCTCACTGCTTTTACTATTTCCTATTAGGCACACAGCAGCCCGCGCACGCACACACACACACACACACACACACGCTCATGAGCTCAGGGGGGACTTTTGGCTTCAGTTTACATGTGCCGCTCCTCGGGCAAGAAAAAAACTCGGCCCAGCCCTGCCCGGATCCACCCCGGCCGCGGCACCCCCGCTCCCCCCGCCGGTGTGCGCTCGCTAGGAGCCGCTGAAAGCCCCGGCGCGCAGGGGCGAGGCGGCCGCGCAGATCCCGCGCGATAACCGCGGGCGCGCTGCCCGGGGCCGCGCCGCCCGGCTCAGCGGGGCCGCACTGCCCGCAGCGCGGCCTGTACCGCGCCCGGCGAGGGCAGAGCCCCGCACAGGAGCCGATGCCCACCGCAGGGGCTCCGGGGTGCGGGCGAAGGCAGTGGGGTGCCCGTGGGGCGGCACCGTGCGGCGGCAGGGCCCCCTTGCCAACGGGCCTGCGGGTCATTTCCTTCCAGGCGAGCAGATCGCTGGGAAATGAGATGCACATTTACCCTTGACGCCTTGCACGCATGGCTGAGGCTCCAGGTTAATTGATACTTAATGGAAATCATGCCTATGAATATACTTTCCATCATTTCACCCTTGGTGGACGTCATTACCGAGGCAAAAAGAGGGAGGGGGGCGAAAAAATAAAAATGTGTGGGTGAACGGTTAGCACCGCTCGGGGACTCCGTCCGAAATAAGCGAGCCCTGTTGGCCGGGAGGAAGGAAGGAAGGAAGAAAAGCGCTGCCCAGCAGGCTCGGGGCTGCCCCCGCCCGGGCCGGCCACCCCCCGTGCCCCAAGAAGCGGCGTCTCCAGTCCTCTCTTTCCCGCTTCGTCCTGCAGTGGGAATCAGATTTTTGGAGAGACACCCTCAGGAGCTCGAGTCCGCCCTATTTTGGAGAGAGACGAAGAATGTAGGTGAAATATAATACAGGCCCAGCCAGAGCCACGTGTGACAGTCTGATGCGAATTGACAAAAAAATCCTTGTGGTTACATAAAAGGCATTTCAGGCTCCTTCCCCATCGCATCCCGTTCTTCCACCACCCCCCCGCCTCCAGGCCGATTAACTCGCTTTGTGTCGCTGACCAGCCCGGCTGCCCCGTATGTGAGCACCCCGCGGGCCCTGTGCCCGCAAGGACAGCCTTGCCCGGGCAGGGGCCCCGGGGTGCACGGCTTTAGGAACTCGCAGAGGCTTAGGGACCCCCGTGCAGCCCAAGGAAAGGCGGGGGAGGCGGGAGAGGCCCGGGCACACCCACACGGACACGGACACGGACAGACAGCAGCAAAAGCCCTTCGCCAGAGAGCACAGGAAGGCAGGAGGCCGGGCCTGGCAGGGGCTGAGCGGCGGCATAGAGACACTGCCTCACGCTGCGGAGGGGCACAGAGGGGCAGTGGCTGCTTCCCGCATCCGCGCCAGACACCCCCGGCCCCGTTCCTGTGCGTTGGTTCCGCGGGCGGCCCGTCCGCGCCCGTCCGTGCCCGCGGTGCCCAGGCCGAGCCGCGCTGCCCGGGCCGCGGGCGCGCAGGGCGGGCGCGGCGGCCGCGCAAGGGTGGAGCGCGGGCGCCCTCTGGCGGCGCGCTGCGGCAGCGGCAGGCGGCGCCCCCGGCCCCGCCGCTGGCCGGGAACGCGAACTGCGGAGCACCCCGGGGCCAGCGCCACCGACTCTGCCTTCGCTGCCTGCACTGGAGTTGGGTCCCTTCTTTTTTCTTCCTTTTTCTTCCTTTTTTTCCCCTTTTTCTTCCTTTTTCTTCCTTTTTCTTCCTTTTCCTTTCTTTTCTCCTTTTTTTTTTCCTTACCCCCCCACCCCCCCCTAATTTTACAGTGCCATTTTCTCTTAGCACGTTTCGGTGACCCTCTTTTATTTTTTTGCCAGAGCTATAATTAACTGCATACAAAGAGTGCGCCTCGTTTACACATGGCAGCCAGGGAAGACGCCTGTGCTTTGAAGACGACTGCTATCGCGTTTTCGATCATGTTCCCCCACATATTACAGCATGAAATCTCCATGTGCGGTAGTTTCAGAGTTATACGTTTTTCTCTTGAAGATGTTATTTTGTTCGCCTGCGCTTTTATGTATTTATGGATTGATTTATGTAAACAAAAGTAAAAATGAATCTTTGTTCACCCCCTCCTTCATCACACATGCCTGTGAATTATTCGGTATAACGCGTGTGCACGAGACTGTGCATATGTGAAAACATATATTAACACAACCAACGGGCAGGAGTTAAAATATTCTGTTTGACACTAAAAGTAATTTCCATAGATGAACTGCGTTTCATTGGTCGAGATGTTTGGTTTTCTTTCTGCCATTTTGAAATAAATGCACGCAATATTAAAAACAGGTCAACAAAAGGAAAAAATGTACGAGGTAAAATGTGTCAATCTGCCTGATATAAAATATTAAAAGATGGTGTGGGCTGGGTGAAAATTTCTTAACAGAACCTCTGCTGGGATCAACACAATGCAGTTTTGTGTACAAGGATATTGTTTATGTGTTGTTACAGATCACACACACACACCCCATCCCCCCCCCGCCATGGGTATTTGCGAAAATATTGAGGCTGGCATCATAGGATTCATTGCAACAGAATATCCAATAAAATACATTTCAACAAATAAGTGGACTTCGTAAAATCTCTGTTTCGTGACCTTCAGGTCCTTTTTGAGTCTGCTGCCTTGGCCCAATGCTGACATACTGAAATTTATAGTCCAAGGTTTTAAGACCTAGTTTGTCTGCATTTTTTTTGCCTTTTTTCCCCCCTAACAAACACAAACATCAAAATAAGGTGCTTTCAAAGAAAAGTGCCATAGCATATCGTAAACTCATTAGGTCCAGACGTCTAGCCATCTCAATGGTTTTATTATACCACGGTTCTTCCTGTTTTAAAAGAATTATAGGTATCTTCTCGACAATGGATGGGAAGCAATGCAACACCTTTTCCTGGCGGTGCATGCTTTTGCTTTCTTTTTTCTTTTTTTTTTTTATTCACAGAGGTAAAAAACATTAAACACCAGGTCTCTCAGCTCTCCCCTTAATCTTGAATTAACCGAACTGCTCGTAAATATTTACGGGTCCTTCATTTTAATGGTTGCTCTTTAAACAAAGCATTTTTTACAATGAACTTCATCTCAATTATCTTGATAAAGTCATGTGTGTTTATAAATGCGGAAGGCATGAGGCGCGTCGCTAAATGAGCTCTCGCCAACAAAGCCGAGCGTTTGGCAGCAGCCGTGTCCCCTCCAGAGCTTCCAGCCTCCCACTTAAAGAAAGCAGAGGTTAGAAGCGACCCAGTAGGGAAAAAACCCCAGGAATAAAACCCATGTTTAACCGAATAGGCATCACTGTGTGTCCTTGGCTCCTGCGGACCGGCGTGGAAGCATTTCCTGACCGACCCCAGGGGACCGCTGCTGTTTGTGGGAGCGCTGGTACCTGAGGCCCGGGCACGGCGCGGCCCCTCGGCGCTGGCCCCTGGCAGCAGCTGCGGCTGGGGAGCCGGGGCAAGGTGCCGGAGGTGCTGCTGGCCTTTCCCGCCACCCCGGCCTCTCCCGCCACCCCGGCCTCTCCCGCCACCCCGGCCCGCGGAGGCTGCGCGGGGCTGCGCGCAGGGCGGGCGGCGCGGGGCGCATGGCGAGGGGCGCACAGATTTCTGCTCTCACCGCAGCGCTGTCGTTGGGTCACGGCAGACTTTATTGTGTAATAAGTGACAACAATTACAACAGGTCCGTGCCGGAGCCACGGAGCGAGCGGGTAATGAGTACAAGAGCACCGCGGGCAGCGACGGCAGCGCCGGGGCACCGGCAGGGCCAGGCCTACGGCGAGCGGCTCCGAGCGTGACACAGCTCCTAACAGTGCACTAAGGGGGGGAAGCAGCTCGTGGCCTCTCTGTGGCATCTATTGCGAAGGATTCAGACCTAGAAAGCAGAAGTTTGGGGAAAGATTTCCTCTTAGTAGGTCGTGGACAGCACAGCAACCCCCATTGATTTAAGCGGCTGTAATTTAATATGTATTTTATTACCGTAATTATAATTAATTTCCTTACCTTTATTTTGGCAAAATAACTATCTAGTCTACATCACTTTTAAGAAACATGTCAAACATTTAACATCAGATAGAGTTCCCAAAGCTAACGTGCACTCACAATATTGTCATCTAAATGGTCTGGGAAGGAGGAGGGGAGTATCAAGAGACTGAAAAACACGTTGTCGAGCAAGACAAAATTTCCGGAAATACCTGACACAGACCACGTTTCACTTCTACCAAGGAAAAAAAAAAAGAAAAAAGGAAAAAGAAAAAAGAAAAAAGAAAAAAGAAAAAAAAAAAAGCGCGATTGATTTAAAATCCCTGGGGTGGAGTGGTGCAGGAGGAGGAGGAACGTATGGGGGGGCTAAGGGTGCAGAGAGCAGAGAAAGAATAAAACCAAACTAACAAAAAAAAAAAAAAAAAAAGAAAAAGGACAAACCAAACCACAACCAAACCCCCCAAAACCCCCACACAACCAAACAAAAACAAGCAGCCACAACCCAAAACCAAAAAAAAAAAAAAAACCACAAAAAACCAAACCCTCAACAACCAAAACCCCACACTGCCCTGATAAAAATCCAAACTCAAAACTAAATCAATAGTCTCCAACTACATTTCCACCCCAGCGTTAGTCTCCTTTATTGCCTTTCTCCTTGTTCATCTTTTTCATTTTCATTCTTCTGTTCTGAAACCAGATTTTGACCTGTCTCTCTGTGAGGTTTAAAATCCTAGCTACTTCGTAACGGCGGTCTCGGGTGAGGTACATGTTAAACAGAAATTCCTTTTCCAGTTCCAGAGTTTGATACTTTGTGTAGGGACAACGCTTTTTCCTCGTTGAACGAGCGTGGATCCAGTTTGCTGCAGGGTTATCTGGAAGAAGGGAGGTATATAGGGAACGGGGAGGGGGGGGAGAGAAAGGTCGTTAAATTAATTTAACGAAGGATGGACTGTTTTCACAACTTTGGAGGAATTATCATAAAAGCCTTAATGCCCCAGTCTGTTTACTGTACAAATGATGTCTTGATGGTAGGTGGTTATGTGGAGTCTTTTATGGGTGCTTGTTGCTGCTTGCGCTGGGGTAGGCGTCTAGACGTTTTTATAGGTTAGTAAAACTATCAGTTTTGCACATTCGAGCCTTACAGGTTTCGGCAATAAATCAAAGGGGCAATTTCTTTCTTTCTTTCTCTCTCTCTCGCTTTCTTCCTTCCTTCCTTCCTTGCTTTCTTACTTTCCTTCCTTCCTTCCTTCCTTCCTTCCTTCTCTCCTCCTCTTTTTTTTTCTTTCTTTCTTTTTCTCCCTCTCTCTCTCTGCCGCTATTCCTCTCTATTTCCCCCACTCCCCGTTTTGTTCTGATTGTCTTTTTCTTTTTTTTTCTTTTTCTTGTCTTTCTTTCTTCCTTTTTTGGGTTTTTTTGAGGGTTTTTTTGGGTTTTTTTTTACTTACTTGGGTCAAGTTGCTGCTGCTTCTCCTCCTTCAGATCGCTGCTCGGGCTGGGGTTGTGGCTGCAGGCGGCGGGCTCCTTGGAGCTGCCGGCAGGCGCTTTCTCCCGGGACTCCTGGAGGAAGGAGCTGCACGTGTACTCGGGCACACCGATCCCCTGGGACTCCCGAGACGAGGAGCATTCAGTCCTTTTGGAGGAGGAGGAAGAGGAGGAGGAAGACGAGGAGGTGGCTGCTCCCGTCTCCGGCTTTATCCCGTAGTGGCGCCCGTTGGAGGAGCCGGAGCTGGACGCGGAGCCGCCGCCGCTGCTGCCTCCGCTGCCTCCGCTGCCGCCGCCGCCGCCGCCGCCGCCCGGGAAGCCCGGGAAGGGCTCGATCCAGGAGCGCACGTAGCGGCCGGCGTCGGCTGCCCCTAAGTGGGGCTGGTGCATGTAGGGGTGGTAGATCCCGGTCATTGCCGCAGACGGCTGATGGTGAACAGTGGACCAGGAGGTGGAAAACACGGTGGATTTTGGTGCAAAGCTACAAGAGGAAAAATCTGAACTCTCTGCAACACCTGATGGCCTGGAGGTCGCACTGTGACCTCCCTGGACGAATCTACTCCCGTAAACTTCTTCGCTTTCATGGCCTATGAGAGAATCGACATAATAGTTACTTATGGTGCCACTAGACGACATTTTAGGCTCCCCTCTTAGTCATATAAAAGGTTACACTGTTAACTGTATATGATACCCTCCCGGAGAACAATCGTAGTATTTTGCAGACTGCAACCCTCAACCATTGGTTGTGGAGCCCACGTGATCATATTTACCAATACTGCGAGTAAATCAATCCGCTAAACTGGGGCTGCTGTGATTAAAAAAAAAAATCATCATCAACAGGGGCCCCGCACAGCGCTCCGCACCGCCCGCGCCCCCGCACGGCGCGGGGCCACCCGCCCTGCCCTGCCCTGCCCGCCCTGCCCGCCCTGCCCGGCCTGCCGTGCCCGGCGTGCCCGGTGTGCCCCCTGCCCGCCCGGCCTGCCCGGCCCTCCCCGCTCTCCTGCTGCCCTACTTGCCGCCTGTCTGTCCGCCTGTCTGTCCTGCCGGCCCGGGCGCGGCGGGCGTGGCCGCGCTGGCTGCCCACGGCCGCGGCGGGTGCGGACTATTTCTTCACCTTCGCTGAGCGATTTCTGCCATTCATTTCTTAATCAATGAGAGGCAGGGTGTTTAAATAAATCCAACAGCCTTGGCTTGCTAATCACACTCCAAGCTGCTGAGGGAACCCGCTGGGAAAGGGGGATTCTTGCCTGTAAAAACAAACCATCGCAAGCTGGGACTGTAACGACTTCTCATAAAACAGGAAAATGTTACAGTAAAAGCACATTGCGGTACTTCCATATTTCAGAGCATGTGCGGGTATTATTATCCGCTCCCCTCACCCCCGGACAGAAAGTTTCCCTGTAAAGGATACACTTTTAAAAAGAGATGCCCATTGTGTTGTTTTAAAACAGGTGGAAGACCTCTGTAATGATTTTATGCCTTTCAATAAAAATTTTATGAGGTGTATTTGATTATAGATTAATGCGTCCCTAATAAAATGGACGGATGGAAACAGCAAAGCCTCTGTCTCCGAGCACGACTGACGTGTGGCTGAACACACGCTCCTCTATCTGCGGAACTTTGGGGCTACACAGCCTTCGCACAGCCCCCCTTTGGGGTGTGCGGCGCGGCCCGGCAGGGACGCGGGCACAGACAGCGCGGAGCAGGCGGCGCGGCCGCGGGCAGGGCCGCACGGGCGGGCGGGCTCGGGGCCGCGGGGCTGGCGCTGACCCCAGCCCGCCGGCAGAGCTGTCTCCTCCGCCCCTAGCTCAGGGGGAGCCACGTTCAATGCCTACGTGAGGGTTTTTTTGCCCCCTTGTCTTTCTCTTGCATGCCTTCCCTCCCCAGCCTTCCCTTCCCTCCCGGCCTGGTTTTTCTTGCCCGAGCGAAAGGACGCCCCGTTAGTACTGAAAAGTGGATTACCCATGGTCTTCTGCCCACGCCTGCTTCCCCGGGCGAGGGACGGTGGCTGTGTCGGGATCTGGAGGAAACGCAGAGAGTTAGTGGCGAGCCCGCAGCACGGCCCGCCGGGGGCACGGACAGCAGCGCTGGGAAAACACTTCCTACTCGCGGGCCGTTATGAGGAAGGGACTGAAATTCCTGTTTATTTAATGATTTATTGCTCTCCTAGGTTGTTTTCTTCCTTTTCCCCCTTTTTTTCTTTTTAAATTTTTTTTCCTTTTCCTTTACTCTCTCTTTTTTTTTTTTTTTTTTTTGGTGTCATTTGTCTTTAGCATTTTCTTCTGCCATTTTATAATTTCTATTACATTGTTTCCTAGAAGCAGGGTTTGTGATATGGCAAAGAATTGCCCCTCGCTTCAAAGAGATATAAATTGGTAAAGCAGGCAAATTAGAGTGTGCCTCATTTTTACATACGTTAAACTCTTGGTATGGAGCCAGCTATTTACTTCTCACTGCCGAAACTTCTTTGGTGGTGTAGCGAGTACCTTTAAAGGAAAAGAAAAGGCCGTGCGAATGTATGCAATATTTACGGGGTTGTTTTGTGGGTTTGGGGTTATTGAGGGGGATATTTTTTAAGCATCATTTTGATGTTTGTTTTCGAAAAGGGAAGGAGCACAAAGTACCTAGGTGCTTGCGGCTCTCGCAGCTCCAAAATGATGATGGTTTGGTCGGAGGAATATATAGCCTCTTCCCTCTGAGTAAATGTGCACACGAGGAAGTACTGGATTAAATTAAATATCAGCGACGAAAGAGCAAACAGAATGCCACCAACAGCATTATGAGCAGCGTCTGTCACCAAGTCGCACAATATTGGCACTATCTTGAGCTTAATTTCTTGATTTAGAAAGAGCTTAGGGGAGAAATGGGCGTTGATTGTGAGCAAGCTGGTTTCCCAGCGCCAGCAGCAGCCACGCTACTTTTGCAGTGCCCGTTTGAAGGTGAAAGTATGCCCAAGCATTTGCACTTCAGTTTGAAGTCATGTTCATTTGCAAGCTATTTGCAGTTCTACTGAGTATATGTGCTCGCATTCGCCCGCTCCCAGCACACGTACCTTCCTCAGCTGCCAGCGCAGAGCCCTGCTAATACTATTTTTCAACTACGTACAGAAAGGGTTAAGAGTCGTGAACGTCATTAGCTGGATGTGTGCTACTAAAATGGAATTGCGCGAAATAAAACGATCTCTGAGCAAACAGAAACGGTGCAGGGCGACAAAAGTGGGTCTGAAGAGGCTGGTGTACTTTTGTGAGCACGCCTGGGAGGGTTTCTGCTCGAAAAAAGCCAACCTCGCCAGATGCTGGGAATGTTTTGAGGGAATATTTTTTCCATCCACGGTCTTCTGAAAGCTGTTGAGCCGACCGAAAACCGAGCTCCTTAACATTTACTTATACCTAGCTTTGCATTTATTATGGAGGTTTTTTGTTGGTTTTTCCTTCTTTTTTTTTAGTGAGCAAAGACATGAAATCAAAGTCTGCACATTGTAAGCACGGAGGGAGTGATATTTTTAAAATCAACGTATGAACATCAAATAAAATGACACACATATTCCTGACAGCTTGTAGTAGAAAGATATTTTTATCACTTACCATTAACGAGTTGTACGAGTTGATTGGATGAGGATGTCCAGTAAAATCATAATATTTTACAACTTTTTTATCCGTCCTCTTTTTTTTTTTTTCTTTTTTTTTTTCCTTTTTTTTTTTTTTTTGTTTGGTTTGGGTTTTTGTTTGTGGTTTTTTTGTTTGGTTTTTTTTTTTTTTTTTTGCATTCAGTTTGTCAGACTGCGAACATCACACAACATTTTATCAAGTAATCAGTTGTTTACAGACACATTTATAAATTAATTGGGTATACATCATTTCCCGGCCCAGTCTCCACCCCACCCCGTAGGGAAAAGAAAAAAAAAGAAAGGAAGGGGGAAAAAATGGAGGAAAAGAAAGAAAGAATGCCAGGCAAACACACACAAAGGCCAGAATATGGTAAAAAAGGTACACCAGTCCAAAAAGCTGTTGACAGAGACAGATCAGGAGACCAACCTGTATCCGTGCTTCAAACATTTGTAGAAAACCAAAGGAACCGCAGTAGTTTACAGAGTTTATTGCATTATACATGCAAACAGAACATGCACAAGAAGGACAATTTGCTGCTGAACGACTACTATTCCACATATGCACCACAAGGAAATGTCTACAATGGAGAAGAAGGAAATATTCCATTTTACGAAGGACAATCTCTAAGTTCATTTGAGTGGATAGTTACATTATAATGTGCTTCTCTTTCCCCCCGCCCCCACAGTTTCCCCCCACTCTTTTTCTGAAAGTATTGAATGTACTCAAAATGTTATGGCCCGTGTAACAGCCCCACATAAATACCATTTTGTTAGTAAAAACATGAAAAAGTCACATTGCTTGGATGTTCGACAGTTCCAATAAGTTAAGACCAAATGATAATATTCAATAATAGTTACCCTGCATTACGATGAGAACAAAAATAAATTACACGTGCTAGGTTTTATATATACTCATCATAGTAATACATATTCACTTGCAGCGCTAAAAGAAGGACGAAGAGTCACATTCTATCAGAAAACAAAACAAAACAAAACAAAACTGGAAAATGCCGGGTTTTGCCAGAGTCTCTCCTGCCTTTATCAAGTGGTGGTGCTGTGCCCATTCCTCACTGGTGCCCCCCCCCGGGGTTAGGGTTTAAGAGAAGGTCAGATTAGCGGTCAGTTCCCGGATTCGGTTCTCCCTGCTCATCTTCTTGAGCTTCATTCTGCGGTTTTGAAACCAAATCTTGACCTGCCTGTCAGTGAGGTTTACGCTCTTACTGATCTCTAGACGGCGCTCTCGAGTGAGATACATATTGAATAAGAACTCTTTCTCTAATTCCAGTGTTTGGTGTTTAGTATAAGGACACCTCTTCTTTCTGCCACTCTTTGCAGTTAACCAATTGCTTGTTGGAGTATCAGACTTGATTTCCTCTATCAAAATCAAAGAAGAAGAAGAAAAAAAAATCAAAAATACCTCAGACTGTTAGAGTGTACCCTTGGCCATGACCCCTCCTCTGCAGTGTCTGGCAGATATGGTGGATGTGGGCATTGCCCAGCGCCCGGCTGAGGCGTGGGCTCAGCCAGGGGACCTGCGGCCAGGCTGGGCTCGCCTGTCCCCAGCCCTGCGCCCTGCCCTGCGGCCACCCCGCTCTCCTGCTCCTGACAGGAAGGGTCTCGCAAGTTTTCGGCCGGCGTTTAACATTTCAACAATATTTAACCTGCCGTCCGCCCCATGGACACATCTAAACGGGTCTAGCCTCGCCATGGCCGACTCGGGCTCCCACGACAATTGCCACGGAAATATTCCAATTACAAAATAGTCTCGCACTGTATTTTGAAGCAGCATCCCCACACACATCAGCTGAATCACGCAAGCACACCTATAAACAGATATAGACATTTCCCAGGCAAAATGATATACAAGAAATTACGACCCCCTGCCTCGGATTTTTTTTTTTTTTTCATTTTCCTTTTGGGTTTTCTTTTCCCCACCAGAAAGAAATCTCCCCCACATGAAGCTAGACCTGTACTACTAAACATAATTGAGATAAAGAAATTCTCAATGCACACAGAGGATAAAAATTGA